CATGATAAGATAACACAGTCTGCTTTCCAAAACAGGCTGGTGTTAGAGCAGGACAATTTGAATAAGGGCGAGTTCTCACAAAAATAATGGGGGATCTTCGAGCCACAGAAAGTCAGCTTGTAGAGGAGGACCAGACAGTAAGTCGAGAGTGTGATGCCTGTGATCCAAACAGCAACAGCCAGGTGGATGCAGAGCTGAGGCTTCATGATGGCAGCGTAACGCAAATGCTGGCAGATGGGAACGTAGCGGTCAAAGGGCATGACAACAAGGAGAACAAGATCTGTACAGCCCAGGCCAAAACAGAAATAGGATTGGGCAAAGCAGCTACTTTGTGAGATTGTCCTCCTTCCAGAACTCAGGATCACCAACAATTTGATGCTTGTGGAGGATGCAAACCAGATTTCCAGGAAGGCCAGATTGCTGATGAAAAAGTACATGGGGGTTTGCAGGCGGTGATCCACACACATGAGGAAAATGATGGTTGTGTTCCCCATCACTGTTGTCAGGTACACGAGCAGAAGGACCAGCGAGAGAAATTGCTGTAGTCCTTGATCAAGCCCTGAGAAGCCCTCTAGGATGAACTCAGTAACTGTACTTTCATTCTCTGGTCCCAGGTTGAATTTCAGTTCATTCTGCTGAGACAGGAGCATGGCAAAACCCAAGGGTGACAATTTCACAGTCTGGATGAAAAGTTCTCGGCTGCCTTCTCTGCTTCTTTCCTATCCTGCAGCCTGCCTACATGACACAGACAGAGAGAGTTCTTCAAGCATTTCTCACACCCAAATTTTTCTCTTTTACGTCTCACTTAGAGTCATCAGGGAATTTATTGTCATCTTTCTGCCTTGTTCAAACACTCACAAAGGATTCTCTCTCCAGAACAGAAGATTTTAAAGAGGCTGTGAGCTATTTCACTCTGTTCTTTGCAAATTCCAAATTCACTCAGACCTACTGCAAACATCTATCACAGCGGTGTGCCAAACTCTTCCATTGCACAAATGCTAAACCATCAAATAACACCTATGCACCAATATGCACCTAACCGAGAAAGGGAAAAAGGTGCTTGGACAAAGGCTTGCCGGACTTGTGCAGAGAGCTTTAAACTAGTATTGCTGGGGGAGGGGGAGCACAGTTCAGCCTACTGCTGTCAGCATGGCGCCAGTGCCAGCACCGAGGGTCCAGAGGCTGAGGAAGGATCGCAGGTATGTTCAAATGAACTTATGCTGCCACCCAAGAGAACCCCTGTCGCTCCAGCCAGCGAGTCGGCTTTGTCGGGAGCCCAGCTAAAGTGTATGTACACCAACGCACGCAGCATGGGAAATAAACAGGATGAACTAGAGATGCGTGTAC